AAGTCCTAGCCTAAGATTCCTTGGGTCATTATTAAACTCAAGAAATAGTTGATTAATTTTCTTCCACTGTTTAGAATTGGTTGAATGTCAAATCTTTCCATCATTAATCTTCTCATCTGAATGCCATCTTAGATTTTTTGCATCCTTTTCATTAGCAAAAAGGCGCTTGAGTCTTGGTACAATCGAAAGATACCACAACACTTTCGTAGAAGCTTTTTTCTCTTTGTATATTGGTGTCTCGCATATTGGACACTGGATATCATCTTCAAACTCTTTTTTATAGAGCATGCAATCATTAGGGCATGCATGAATTTTTTTGTATTTCATGCCCAATAGACATAGTATTTTCTTCGCATCGTAGTATTGATTTGGCAGCACATTTTTATCCAAAAGCAATTTCTTAATTAACTCGAGTAATTATGTCAAACTCTTATCGCTCCATCCATGTCTTGCTTTCAAGATCATTAATTTTAATAATGTAGACAATAGTTAGTATTTTTCACATCTTGGATATAAAGGCCTCTCTACATCATTGCTCATATTCTTATATGTATGTGATTGCTTAAAAATCTCTTCTCCAATATCACGAATCATGTCCTTTAACTGATCCTCCATATCATTATCAACCTTCCATTGTTGAGATGTATTCGACCTCGGCCTTTCCACCTCTTCACCATGCCATATCCATGTTGTTCAACTTTTGCAAAATCCTTTACAAATCAAGTATGTGTATATTTCTGTAGAATTCGGTCTCCTCTCATTCAAGCAATCCATACAGGGATAATAAAACTTACTACTATTATCTTCAACATTTCTTTTAGCAAAGTCTAAAAACCTCTTTACCCAATTATCATACTCTTTGGTATATCATTTAGCATTTATTCAACTTCAATCCATGGTTAAATTCTTAAAATGTAACAAAATTGAGAGATTATTATTGCTCATTTCCATAATTTTCAATTTAAGTTGAAATTTTCAATTCTTTGGAGAACACTGAGTAATATTATTTAGAGTTGGCTTCCTTTTATGTAATAGGCACAAGGAGAGAAGTCAATTCTATATTTTTTTGGCCCTTTTCATATAAATGAAAAGGCCAAATAATAAGTTTTTCAAGAAAAATTGGCAAAGTCTCCCATACAAGTTGAACATTTCAATAATTTTACAATTGAAAATATGACCTTAAGAGACAAAAAAACAAGTCATGCAATCTCTAAAGACATCTTGCCTCTTCTACCAGCATTCCACTAAATTACATAAAATAAATCAGTCATGAAAGCACAATAATTCAATTTAAAAAGCATAAAGAATTCAATGTTACATTTGAGACAACATCAATTCCTAACAAATTTAACTAATAAGCTAGCAAATTTAGCAATTACTCATGCAGTCTCTAAAAATTAAACAAAAATTTCACTATCAAATTACAAGTTTATAAAAATTTCAGCGAAGTTATACCTAAAAGTTGCCTTATCATGTATTCAAACTACATTCAAATTCAAATCAAAAGTCACAGTCCATAATTCAAGCTCATCCAGTAGCAATCCCAAGTATTTTTGTAGCAATAATCAAGATATACATAATTTTAGCTAGAATTCAAGCTTTAACCAAGTTAAATTATGATCAAGAGTAGGTTAAAATAAAATTTCAACTTAGCCAACAACAATCCCAAGCATTTCAATTTATAATTTAAGAAATTTTAATTAAAAAAAACCTACCTGAAGCTTGAAGGCAGAAGAAAGCCACTTGAGAAGGAGTTGAAAGCACGAGGAATCTAAAGGTTGCAGAGCTTGAAGAACAAGAGCAACCTAGAAAAACATGAGTAGAAGAGGAATAAGATAAGCATTCATTCATTAATTAATTAAAAAAATTGTTTAGACCCACAAGCTTGGACCCACGAAACCCAAAAGAGTAATGGAGCATTAGGGTAGATTTAAAATTACTTGAGTGGAGCAAGTTTTAGATGAAGGGAACTCAAGCTTTAGATGGAGAAGATAAACTCAAAGCTACAGCACAAAGACAAAGAAGAGGAATCCAAGCTTTAGATGGAGACGACGCCAAAGATGAACAGGAACCTAAACAGAACTCAAGGACGAAGAAGATAGATTGAAGACGACGACAGGCGCAACGTTGGTTTTCTGCAACGTTCAGAAATTTTGAATAGGGAGGGAAGATGAAATCTAAGAAAATAGAGGTGGATAGGATTTTAGAAAGACTTTCTAAATCGGTTAAAATGAAAATTTGGTCAAAAAAGTAATTTTTTAATTTTAAAATAATTATTATATCATTTTTTAAACCACTTTAATACGAGATTGGTCTAGAAAATAATTTTTAAAAAATTTGAATATTTCTACACTGGGAGATTTAGAAAGTACAAGAATTTAATTTTTCTTAAAATAGTCACATATTTCAAATCAGTTATATTGTCAACCAATTTAAAAAATATTATTGAAACTAGTTCTAGTTTTACCCAACTCAATATCTTAAACCATGCCAATTAATTGCGACAATGTCGTCACCTTTTTTTTTTTTTTTTTCATACCTCATTTGCTGTAACCGGTTTAAAAAGTGAATTTTAAATTATTATTTTTTCACCAGTGCGTTAGTTGCGTTAAGAGCAAGATTCGTTAGACTGACAAAGCCAACCAAAACTTTTAACAAAATTGTCAAATTTAGCTTCTCAAGATCATAATGGAATCGATTAAACAAGCCAACTGCAACTAAACTAATTGTTATTTCTATAGTTTAGCTTCTCTAGTCTCACATTCTCCTCTATCCCTCGTCCTTTTTTTTTTTTTTAATGAACTTTGGAGTTCAAGCAATTTGATTTATCGGCTGTGTTGAGCCACAGTCAAATTTACAAAAAGTGGGTCTCAAATTGAATTTTCAAAACTCATTTCTCCGCATCTCTTGCTGCTGGACGCTACAAAACTTCCAATTTCAAAGTTGTGCACCCTGTCACTTATAATTATAATCTTAACTAAACTTGGTCCCCCCCCCCCTCTTTAAGAAATAAAGTTTAAATTAAATAGGTTGACAATTTCTTTTATTTCAACATACATTTGTGTCTCTTGCTGTAATTAATTGTTTTTATTGGTTGAAACGTAAATGCTACCGTGGAGTCAAGTATGTCATTGTTTAGTATTTGACTGTGTGCAAGCCATCAGGGACCATGGAGAACCATCTATAACTTGATTTCGTTGGGGCAGCAAGAAAAATTATTGCAAGGAACTGAAATGTTGATTTCATTTTCTTTACAGGGTATATTAAATGTGCCGATATCCCATCTAAATAGGCTCGCGAACTACATGTTAATTTTTTGTATTTTTAAATCATCCATCATCTTGCATTGTGAGGATAGTTGATGATGATAATAAAAGAATTCTTGGATTTTTTTAATTTTATGTAACTTCTCTTGTTTTTATGTAGTTTTGATTTTCAATCAAATAAATAAATGCTATGGGATTCCATGTAACAATTTCTCATATTGTTAAGGAGAAGAAGAAGGTGATTTTTTTTTTGGTTGGAAAATAAGGTAGGTTCTTGTATTTTAATTTTGTTTTATTTTTTCTATAATTTTATTTTGGTATTCTTAGTCCTTTTAGTTTAAGTAGTATATAATATTAGTCTGAACATAAAAATCACAAGTTAGCATTAACATGGCTAATTTCATTGTGATTTTACTAGCCTTTGCTGACATGGTAACGATATGCTAACATGAAAATTAATAACCAATTATAATTAAAAATAAAGGATATTCCTTTTATATTTGATTTAAACAAAATATGAGAGATGAATGAAAGATTAAGTACACGTTAGTAAATGGGTTAATATATTAAGTACACATTAGCAAAGTTAATTCTGTCTACACGAACTCATAATCATTATGTGTATTTTTTTACACTTTAAAAACTAAAAAACAAACTCATCAATGATGTTTTTTTGCTAAAAGTGTATCTTTAATTCTTTAGTTTTATATAAAATTTTAATTTAATCTTTTAATTTTATAAAATAATTTTTTAGTCATCTAATCCTAATACTGTCACTTTCAAATTATTTTTTTGATCAATTATTGTTATTTTAAAAATTAAACTTATTATGTTAACATTTGAGATCGTTTTGTCAAAATTTCTTAATTTTAAAAATGATGGTTTTAAAGTTATAAGATCAAAAAGATATTTTATAAAATTAAGAGATTAAAATAAAATTGAATGTAAAGTAAAAGGATTAAAATAAAATTTAACATTTTTTTTAAGCTTTGTGCATAAAGGCTGAAACATGATTAATAAGGAGGAAGAACTGATTTCAATTAGCCCTCTTAACCTAACATAATTTTAGTCAATTTTTAAAACTCTAAGATTACATTGCACATTTGAGGGATTGAAATAAAATTAAGGAGTTAGCTTAAATAACCTTTTTTTTTTATGGCAAAGGTTAAGTGCATGAATATTTTGTGTAGAGAAAATAAATAACTAATATATAAAATAAACAATATATAAAATTAATTTATAACTCTCACTAAAAGTATAACATAATGAATTTATAATTTCATTTCACCCATATTAATTATTTATTTTTTATATATTAATTAATTATTTATTTTACATGAGTCATTTATATACCTAGCTGCACTAAAAATAATAAAATTATTTAAATTATTTTTTTAATTTCATATGCGGTGAAATTTAAGAATTGTGGAGTTGATTGAAATTATGTTGGATGAGGGGTGGATTGAAATTTTTCCAATGGTATAGGATTTCATGATATGTGTCAGTCAGATACAGGTGCGTTAGTGCTCCAAATGCACCGCCAGGGAACTTTATCAGGCTCCCTTTGACTTCCGTTTCCCGTTTGGGATTTGAAATTTGAAATCGGACCCCTCTCCAAAGACAAAGAGACGTTATAAACTCTCCCACTTCGCGAATACAAAATTACAAACGTATTTCAAAAATATATATGTTTTTTTTTTAAATACTAATAAACTGCGCCCAGTCTCGCTCGACTCGCTTCTCTCTCAACGAGCCACCAGTTATCAACACCCTTCTTTCCCTCTCGCTCCTACTGTCCTGCCTGACAAGTTTCCCATCCCCATTCCTGTGGTTGCTGATTTTCTCGCTCGCACGAAGGAATACTGAAACGCTGCTAATTGAAATCGCGGCTTGCTAGTAAGAGCCTATTGTTTTCACTTGTTAAGTTATCAGTTCAAATGGGCAAACGGCAATGAATAGCGTTCCTTTCAGTCTTCTCTGATCTACCCCTTTTTCCTCTGTAAGTTCTTGCTTCTGCGCCACTCTAGAGTTTATTTCGTTCCTCATATTCTTTTATGGGTTCTTTTTATTTATTGGCATCTGGCTTTTCAGATTCACGCTTTGTCTTTGTCACTATTTTGTTGAATGAAGTAGCAGATCACCTATTGTTTTTGCTTTTCTGGATTGTGTCACTGCTTTGTATCTCCTTCCTCACTCTGGTGTATGCTTGCTTGATGAGATTTTCAAGGGCAAAAACGATGAGTTGAAAGAATACATATATATATTAAGTTTTCTACATTTATCTATCTCCTTCCCTTTCACTACATGAAGTCATTTGACTGGGGAAATAGATTGTGAAAGACGTGAACATTTCTTTGGACACTCAAGTTTCTCTTTAGAAGACTATTCAGCTTATATTATTTCTTTATTAATATTGGTAGCATACTTGAGTTTATGCTTTATGTTCGAGTTCAAATTAATGATCGCTTAATTTCGCCAGTTGGTCAGGTGACTCAGATTAATTATACTGGTGTCGCTGACAGGTGGCTGATAGTTGCTTAGATACGAAAAGTAATAGGATGTTTTTTTATTATTGTTATTGTCGTTTTCCGATTAAACCTATTTGATTGATGGATTAATCTGATTCTGTACCCTAAAGCCTGAACTGGTACAACTATAACGGCAGTTGGTTTGCGTGATCTGCTACATAGAAGTGGCATTCGTTGCTTGTGGCAATTATGGTTTTATTAAGAAGAAACTTGATTAACGTAATAATTCATATTAAGTTCACATGTCAGTGTAATTATTCAGGACCAGATGCTTGATTGGAAGGATTAGCAATGGCCGTATCCATGCTTTGCAGTTTGTGTGGCACCATATAAGGCTGCTGGGATTATTATTGATTTCTCTCACACGAGACAGGTAGTATGGTTTTTAATTTTTAAGGATTATCTCCGCATTGGTCTCCTCGCGTCTGGTTAATCTGCAGTTTCCGTTATTCTAATTCTAAATTCCAAATGTATTCAAATTGTTAACAATCGACTTATTGCACACAAAAAATGAACATAAATGCACAAAGAAGATTAAGGGGCACACAAGCGAACCTATAAAAAACTTGCTGTAACAGTTAGGTTTAGGTTGCAGCAGTAGATAATGGATGAAATCTTCTGGCGTTGCTCTTCTGTGCCATGGACACATCTTGATTTATTACATTTATTCCAAAGTATTATGGTTTATTATAGGTTTCTAGATCGACTTTATTTTTCTCTGAACTTTTAGGGAGCTATTTTGAATCAGATGGGTTATAATTATAATTTTACCTTGAATTAAAAGTATTAATGTTTCTGTATTATAAAAATATATTACATGAAGGTCTATTTACTTTTGCTTCAAGAATGGGAGTTGAGAAAGCAGGAACAAAAAGTGGAGGTGGACACGTTGGTGGGTTTTTCCAGTTGTTTGACTGGACTTCAAAATCTCGGAAGAAACTGTTTGCTTCTAAGTCAGATGTACCAGGTACATATTCTGTCTGTTTTGAATAAATGATAATATGTTCATGCATTTTGCTTTATGCATCCCTTCTATGAAGGTTTTATGGCGTAAGTTATTTTTTGATTTTGGCAGTCTTTTTTTCTTCTTCATTTGCAGAATCTTTGAAGCAGGGAAAAAAAGTTGATGGCAACTTGGCAATGACACGGCCCTATGTGGTGGTAATATCACAATCACTTGCTCCCAAAATTACAGTTTCTGGTCATGAAAGTAAATTGTTACTTTGTTAAATATTCCAGATGAATGAAGATGAAATTGGAGCCGGGGCAAGTGTTAGAGGAAGTGATCATAGTTATGCTTCATCAGTTACAGATGATGAGGCATGTGGAACAAGGGTCCCAGGCGTAGTTGCTCGGCTTATGGGATTAGATGCTCTACCCCCTTCTGGTTTTCCTGAGCCCTATTCTTCTCCATATTTTGATACCCCATCCCTTCAAGATGCTCAATGTTGCAGGAAAAATCTCAACTATCAGTATGATCATGCCATTTATTCTGGAAATTTGGGTGAAAAAGTTGAGAGCTCTTCGAGGAACTTCATGGAGCCAAAGCCCCGGAAGACCGTTAGCAGGCCAATTGAGAAGTTCCAAACAGAAGTATTGCCACCTAAGTCAGCTAAATCGATTCCTGTTACACATCATAAGCTTTTGTCTCCTATCAAGAGTCCTGGCTTTGTTCCAAGCAACAACCCTGCTTATATAATGGAAGCAGCTGCAAGGATTATCGAACCTCGGCCCCAAGCTACTGTAAAGCCTAAAACTCCATCGATAGCTTCGTCTTCTGTGTCATTGAAGGTTCGAGGACTTAAAGAAAAAGTGGAGGCTTCACAAAAAGGACCTCTTTTTGGGTTATCTACAGTAAAATCCAGAGCCAGAGATTTGAAAGAAAAAAGAGAGGTTTCTCAAAGAACAATTAGGCTTTCCGAACGTTCTCAAAAATTGGTTGAGTCAAATGCTGCTATGTATCTCAAGGGACAGTCCTTAAATAAAAGTTGGAATGGATCTACGGATTCATCCATTGGATCAACGGATGCAGGAGAAGATTTTTCACTACAGAATAAAGGAAAGTCTATCTCGCTTGCAATCCAAGCAAAAGTGAATGTTCAAAGGAGGGAAGGCTTGAGTTTGAATGGCAGTAGAGGTTTGGTGGGGCAGAAAGAACATCACGAGCTTAAACCCAACCCACCTTTGAGGACTAATGTTCAAAAGAATTTGCAGAAAAAATCTTCTGTGCAGGGTACTAATGGTGTTCTCCGAAAAACAATCAAAAACAGAATTGTTCGGTTGATAAGGGCAAGCTACCATCAAAGGCATCAATTTCCAATGATAGGAAAGTTCTGTCGGGGGGCTCATCCTACGGACGTCATAGAACTTCTAGTAGTAGATCTGCCGGGAAACCCAAAACTGGTACAAGGAAGTCAAGCTTGGGTGCCTCAGATTGTGAAAATGAAGTTTTCTATACCAGTACAAATAATTTCCCTAGAAAGAAAAGGTCCACCGACAAGGACTGGAATGATCGGGAGGTAGATAATTTGTTCATTGACAAAACACAGAAGCCTATTGAGTCTAATAAGGGCAGCTTTAATTGGGCAGGAGAAGGCAAAAGAAAAGACATGGATGTTGTTTCCTTTACGTTTACCACACCATTGGCAAGAAATAACACTGGTTTCGAGACTTCTAGGCAAGTTGGCCAGAAGGGTAATGGTTGTTCCTTGGATCACCACGTTAAACAAGTGTTGATTGAGTCAGACAGTGCAGCAACTCCAGTAGGATATAATGTGATTGCTAGTGATGCTTTGAGTATTCTTTTAGAGCAGAAACTAAGGAATTAATGTATGGAGCTGATACTCCATATAACAGCTCTTCTAAAGCCTGGACGTCTTCTAGTATTGCATCAAACTCAGTAGATCCGATATCTTCCCCTAGTTTAGTTAATCCCCTCCCAAGATTCCAACAAAAGGACCAAGACGTGATATCTACAGATACCTTATGCACCAGGCAATATTCTGACATCTCTCCCACTAGTCTTCCAGATGTAACATCAAAACATAAGTCATTGGTATGTGGCAAGATTATAATTCTTACTTAGAATGCTAGTTTTATTTATTCTGTTTTTGTGAATGATGACTGATCGGTTAAAAAGAGAGAACATAGAAATTTAGACTTGATTGGTGTGAAACTGGGCTTAAAAGAACAAAATATGTGATAGGCTAATTACTACTCCCTTTGGCCTGTTCCAAGAAACAAGAGTCAAGAACCAGTTCATCCAAAAAGCTTGAGTTGATGGGGAAGGAGTAAACTTAGGTACACTTTTTAGGCATTTCATAACTGTCCAGTAAAAACTTGACATATGGAGGAAACTTTTATTATAGAATATAGAATTTGGTTTGATGAAAACACTTCAGAGAAATTTATCGTCATTACTTATTATCACATGTAACATATCTCTTCAAGCCCATATCAAGATTGAATACACCCCAAAAGCTTAAAGAATGGCTTGCATTAGTATCTAACATATGGATCGTCCTGGCTTCTGTTTATTAGTATTTTGAAAGTTTTCTCACCAAATATTTAATTATTTCCTAGCAGCATGGTGTTTGAAACATTTAATTGTAACTAATGTATGACAAATTTGAAACATCGAGAATGGCACTGAAGTTTGCAGTGTTACAAAATTGAGTCTTCCATATGCAAGTCCATGTAGTAATAACTAACGTGAATATACTACAGGTTGTTGATGGGATGAAGGAGTTTAGGTCCAATCATATGGAATCACAGTTATTCAACTGTCGACACCCAAGTCCAATCTCTGTTCTTGAACCTTCTTTCTCAACTGAAAGTTGTGAATCTCTAGTCAGCACAAGTGCTATTAATAGCACAGGAGGTAAAAGCAGCACCGTTGTATGTGTATATATTTATAAATTTGCTTATAGTTATAAGGATTGGACTGTTAATCATCTTTATTGAATTTAACTATGACATGACTAATCATTACTGCTAAATGTGATATGATTAGATCAAATAATACAAGTTGTTACAAACTCAAGGGCATCTTGAGTTTGAGTGAGGGTGTTAAATGTGATCTAATTATAATTGATGCATGATTTCCATTTATTATAATTTCCTATTCGGTTTTGGTTGACTGATCACATTTAATAAGATTGTTGTTGGTTGATTTGATATTTATTAGGATATCCCACATTGTTCTATAAACCCCAAGATCTTGACTGAATAAACACGGCGCAATTTACAATCTTTGTCTCTTGCATGTGCCTTTCTAGAATATTCTTTCTATGACAATGATTATTTCTTTCCATTACCTAATGTTTGCTATATCCAATGTCAGAAAGCAAGTTGTGCTCATCTGTCCAAGCTCAGGAAGTCTTTGGTCCGAACACTTCAAGGAAGTTTTATCATGCAGAAGCTGACACTGAGTTATCAGATTCAGCTTCTTCAACCTCATCTGGAACTATTTTAAAGAAGCATACAGGTACATTTTCTGTAATGAAGTTTGGAAGATCGAGTACATGGGAATTGGACTATGTGAAAGAAATATTGTGTAATGTAGAACTGATGTTTATGGACCATGCCCTTGGTCAAGCACGAGAGATTGTGAGCCCCCATCTATTCAATCAGTTGGAAAGCATGAAAGAAGGGTTTGAGAATGTTGGTGGTGAGTCAAGGATAAACAGGAAAGTTATGTTTGATTGTGTGAGTGAATGCATGGACACAGCGTGTAGGCGTTATGCATGTGGGGGATACAAAATGTGGGCCAAAGGGGTCATGAAGGTGAGAAAGAATGAACGGTTGGCTGAGGAAGTGTACAAAGAGATTTCTAGTTGGGGAGCCATGGGGGATTCAATGGTCGATGAACTTGTAGATAAGGACATGAGCAGCCAATATGGACGATGGCTCAATTTTGATGTTGATGCTTTTGAACTAGGAGCAGAGGTTGTGGATCAAATATTTGATTCTTTGGTCAATGATTTTGTCGCTGAAATCTTGCAAAATTAACATCCAAATGCTGTTACAATGGTGGGCTGAAGGGGGTTGCAATTGTGAGAAAGAATGAACGATTGGCGTATGAAGTGTCCTGTCCAAGGAGATTTCTGGTTGATGGCTTGTGGTGGATAAGGAACATAATAAGCTAATATGGAAGATGGCTAGATTTTGATATCGGAGCTTTCGAACAAGCTGAGGTTGAGGATCAGATATTTTACTCTTGGGTCGATGATATTTTTGCCGAAACCTTGCGATATAACATCTAAATGATTCTTCCTTCCTGTTTTAAATCCCTATTTCCCTACCCTCTGGGGTGTGTGATTAAGATTTTTGGCATTGTCTCAAAGTGGATTACAAAGTCATATAAATATCACATAAAGTCATTTATTTCTGTTGCTTCACTGTCCTTTATTGATATCTTGATTTTCCTTGTATCAGTCACCATAGATGTGACTCATTGCCAATCAAGCAGCGGTTTTCATTCTTGAATTTAATTTACAAATGAACAAGAGCCAGAGCCAGATCCAATAATGTGAAATTTATTTGAGAGCCTCTTGAATCATGTGGGTCAAATGCTAATTAGCAATTGTTGCAATGTAACTTTATCAATAGCCTGACTGTCAAATTCGAAAACCTCTTGCAAATTAACATTCCCATAATGTGCTTGCGATTAATTATTTTTAATTTTAAATTAAGCTTGTCACACATGCCAAAATAAATAAATAAAAAGAGAGAGACGCAGGTAAAATAAAGACGCGCGTAACTCTTTCACCACCATAGAGAGAGAGGGACAGAGATGTGGATCTCTTGTTGGAAGCAAGAGATAAAAACTTGAACTTAAACCTTGTTTAGTATGTAGAATTAAATAAGTGGGACTCAATTTGGAATTGGGTAATACCACATGTTTATGTCCAAATTCAATCCCATTTAGGTGGGAATACTTGGTACCACCTCCCTTTGGTACTGGAAAATTAATCTTAAGATTGAAAATTTTCAAACCAAATTGTCCCTTCGCACCATGACCTCCCTCATCTGAGTCATCTCCTATCTCCACCTTTGCCATTGATGGCAACGTTGTGCCCCTTGCCATTGATACTGTGCTCATTGCCCTTGCTGCCGACACTATGCCCCAAGATTGAAAATAGTAGAGATCTTCTTCCCCCCATTGACGTCCATGGTAGAGGGTTCAAGTTTGAGAGATCTTCTTCCCACCATCGGTATTGCTAGTTCGAGCTTGAGTTCAGCGTTAATGGGTTTGAGTTTGATTTTGCTAGATCTGGGTTCATCTTCCTCCTATCATTGATGTCCACAGTAAGTCATAGGTTCAAATTCACCATTGATGGTTTCTGAGTTCATCTTTTTCTAGACTTGGGTTCAAGATAAAAATCAATGGGTTCAACATCCCACCATTGATGGGTTCGAGTTCCAGATGTGAGCTTAAATCTTCCCTCCCATGTGATTGTGTTAGATTTGGGTTCAAGTTCATCTCTTCCTCATGTATATCTATAAAATTAATGCAAGTACTTCATTCAAATATTGCTTCATACCAAACATACTTTTAAAACTTCAATTCCAATATCAATTCCAATCCCAATCCAATCCAAATCTTGATATCAGCCCCAAGTTTAATCTATCAAAATTCATAGTTGTGTACCAAGTAGGGCCTTGTGCTTCTTATAAATCAACCAATGATCACTCTTGGCTACTCATTATCTCTCTCCTTAACAGTAAAATAACGGTATGACCTAATTCAAGTTCTTTTCATTTTTTCTAACCGAATTTGATTCCAGTTCATAATATATCTTGACATATTAATTAGAAAAGTTGCTCCTCTCCTCTGGCATGCATGCATATTCAAATTTTTCAAACTGAACATGTTATTCAAAATGTTCAATGAACAAGCATCAAACCATTTTGACATTATATGATATATTGATGACTGAAACAATGATTTAGTAGCACAATATGGCAACAGAATATTAGCTATTGTCAACAACTTTCCCTTTAGCAATCAAAAAATTTCTTTGTTTTGAATTTAACTTTGCCAAAGTAGGACCACCTTTTTTTAACTCCCATCAAAGCCATAACACTATCTTCGTTTAAAAATATAAAACATTTCTTTAAGTTAAATTTTTAAAAATATAAAGTATTTTTAGTTTTTCAATATGTCATTAAAGAATTTTTTTTAAATATCCTTAATAAATAAATCACTTAACTGCTTACCTCTAAGTGTGACACCCTATTATTAAATAAAGGTATACATAAAAAGATGGTGTTAATTTAAAAATAATTAACTAATTCATTAAGAGTGTAAATGTTAAAAATGCCTTTGATTTTTTAAACGGAGGGTATCAAATGGATGCTTTGAGTGGATCCCAACTCAGATTTTTCCATACTCACTCCGAACCATAATATAGAGTATCTTTTAAAAGTCGTATTTGGTTTAAAATATAGAGCATTGATTAACTTTTATAATTATTTTTTTAACTATATTCATTTATTATTTTTTTATAAAATGATATATTAAAATTTTAATTATCATTATTAGGGCGCTTATATAGAATATTTAATGAGGGTATAATTGAAAATATATAAAAAAAATTAAGAGATGAAGGTTTCTACTAAATTTTTTTGATAATTGTGAATTAGCTAGTAATGCCTTTATATTTTGGTCCAAAAAATGTATAAACTCCTTCCGAATCACAATATAGGGCTTCTTCTAGAATTCTTACTTGGTCCAAAATATAAGACATCAGGTAACTTTTATAATTATTTTTTCAAATATACCACTACTTTATTTATTACTCTTTTTGAAAAAAATGACGTATTCCAATTTTAATTGTCATTATCAAAACAATAATATAGGATATTTAATGAAAGTAAAATTGGCTTGATATAATTTTTTTCCAAAAAAACTAAAGTTTTAACTAACATTTTCTAATTCTTATTATATGAACATTTTTAATCATTTCACGCATGTTAAAAAAATTTAATTTTTTCCTTGATATCATAAAAAGTGAGATCTATTTTTATTTTTACCATCAATTTTAAATAATAATACAAGTATATTAAATACCTTTATATTAATAAAGACGGGATAAAATTAAAAAATAATTTAATTATTATAAGATGTTTTATATTTTGGATTAAAAATTATTTTATAAATAGGATAGGATGAAGTATTTTGGTACAGAGGGAGTAAGCACCCCTTGAGTGACTCTACTTTGAAAGACTCGTCAATCCGCCGTTAAGATCTCTCTTCAGTTTTTCCATCGTTAAATCAATAAGTGTCATTAAATGAGAGGCCCCATATGGGCCATGATAAGCTTAAGGTAGCTTTCATTCGTACAGACAGGAATGACAAAACGAATTAATTCATTAAATGAAAATGTGCAAAACTTTAAATAGATAAATAAAGGTATAATTCATGGGATTGGAACCATATCAGCGAAGGGACAACAAGGCCAACACGAAGTTTCTGTCATGAACTCTGAGAAATAATAGTTTGTATTTTGTATAATGGTTGTTATTGTATGTGAGTGTGGGTTTCAGTTTAGGGGCTATATAAATTGACCCAATGTGCTTTGTAGACTTGTCTCAGATTAATGAATTACTTTGATTCTTTCAAGGTCAAGCGTTCTCTTGAGTCCACAGACTCCTTTCTTTTGGAAGAGCTGAAGGATAATATTGTGAAATCGTAGCAGCTTTATTTTCAGATTAAAGAAATAACTAATACCTGGAAACACATTGAAATATGCTTCTCCCTTACAAAGTTACAATATATGCACTAAGGATTTTCTCTCTCTGAAGGACTAACTCTGCAACTGAAACTACCAGATCCCATGAACCAGGAAGGAAAGAAAACCAAAATGCTTTAGGGTATATTTAAAAGACTCGAATTCCCTCACATGAACGCAACTCAGTGGAAGTTGTATGCTTCACTATTTGCAGTGGCATCCCACAAACAAGTCATCATCTGGTTTTCTTCAAAGTGCTGCAGGTTCCATTGATTATGATGGGACTCAGCACTAGCTGAAATATCCCAATCAGCCCACTGATAATCGTAAACAGAATTCACTGATGATGAACTGCTGCTATTATTAGGATGACCGTTATGCCACTCCCTACTCTGATCTGAGTAATTTGATACTGAGCTCCAAACACCACTTTTACTATCCTCGCTTGTTGGAATATGTATACCCTTTTCACCACCCACCTCTCCGTACTCATATTCTCTTCCCATACTGTTATTTCCGCTACTGATTGGGTTTACAAGCATCCCACTTTCAAACATGTAATTAAGTTTCATTATTTCTTCATCTAGCCATTGAAATGGCCCCAAGGCCTCACCTTCTCCATCCATGTTGGGGCAAAATGCTGCTTTTCCGTTTGTAGTATCATCACTACTCATCATACAATATGCATCCAAACCAATACAATCAGCGGTCTCTTCTTGGTGATGATTCTGGCTCCAAGATTCATAACCGACCATTGAAGTTGCCTCAGCTTCATCTGGACTCGTTTTTCTTCGATGCATATTGTTAAACAGATCGTGAGCATTCGTACCCGAGTGCGAGAATTGGTTTGAAGCGATATTGTTCTTGTCTTCTTCTTGCATGGGCGGTTGAGTTGGTCTGCCTCGACCGCCTCTTCCTCGTTTGGAGGAAGCGGCGGCGTTCAGAGCAGCAATGTCAATCGGTGGGAGAGTGTCATTGGAGTTTGAGGTTTTCATGAAGCAGTAAATTTTTCTTCTCAGGTGAGAGTTCCAGTAATTCTTGATCTCATTATCTGTTCTTCCGGGTAGCTGCCTCGCTATTACAGACCACCTACAAAAAATAACCAAACAACAATTCAAAAGATGAACACGAAAATCGAGTTGTCGTGAATTATATAATTATGGTGAAATACTTCCCCATCACGAACAGGATATTTCTATTAATAAAAGAATTCTGTCAAGGTCAAAAAGATTACGATGAATATCAAGAGCACGGGCAAACATGCGCGAGAGAGAGAGAGAGAGAGAGAGAGAGAGAGAGGGAGAAATGTCCCTCTCAGACAAAATATATTTTTACTCTTATATTACAAAAAGATTATTAATTGTATGTTTTACTCATCATTTTCATCATAATATTGATTATAATATTATTAAGGATAAAAATAAAAAATATTATAATTTAATTAAATAATAAAATTTTATTAGTATACAAAATTTGATTAAAAACATCTTATATATAAGAATGGAAAAAGTTAAAAAATACTATGATCAATATTAAATAGTGACCATTTTACGCGGGAGAACTTTAGAACTTTAAAATGTTACGTAAATACCATAATCCTTGATACTGGAATTAGAAAAATAATTGATGAAAATGCTCTTTTCCGGCACAAGTTGAAAATCTTATGTCTTACTTAAAAGCTAAACTAGAAGCTGGAAGCCTTTATTTAATATCGTTTTTAACTAAACATTTTTACATTTATTCATTCTTCAATTTTAGAAGAGCTAGAATAGTTGGAAAAATAGTATACAAGTTGAAAATGCTAGAAGAATGAATATGAAAATTTTCCTAATTAAAAATATTCCATCCAAAGCTTTTAAAATTTCTAACTTTTGCTTTCATAATTTCCAAACGAAACTTAATTTTTATCAATATTTTTTTTAAAAGATAGTAAGAATCGAAGTTTATAACTTACATTTTCAATTTTTTTATATCCTAAAGTGTCATTATCCTTATCCTGCTTACTTAGTTCCAAAGTATCATTTCTCCCCCATGGTAAATTGATAATCTCTTGGAAAGAATATCAAGTCATCGGGATACTGATAAATTACTTTCTTTGACAAAACTAGACAATAATTAAATTTATTTAAAGAGATAACAACTTAAAAATTGTTTAAAATCAACATATTTTTTAATAATTAAATCCGTTTTTGGCTAAATAATATTTAAACCCTATTATAATGTATAAAAATATAAAAAAATCATGTATGGATGTCACTAAAATATCTAAAAAATATTGAAAGAATAAAAAAGTATAACGCATAGCTCAATAGAAAATATAACTATTTATGACCAATAAATAGTAAAGCTCCTTTTATATTTTAATTTTTTTAATTAAATATTGATATTGATTGTTACATGATCCGAATGAATTATAATGATTGAAGAATAATCAAAGAAGATTGATAATTCCTATATTTTTGTATTTGAATGAGCCGAATGAATTAAAATTAATTGAATATTTTATATTTTTCATTAAATTGTTTAGGTTAGGTAGTAGTCCTCATCGCCCAGATAACTTAATTACTAGTTACATAATTTTTGTAGAAAATAAAAAATGTTATATCTTTTAAATAGGTAATAAAATGAATAATTTTTTGTTTAAAATACAAAATACAGCTAGTCTCATTTATGAGACTAAATTTATATCAAAGTCTGACAAAGGAATGGTACGAGCATATGGGGCTGACAATAAATAAACAAGAAAGCGAAAGGGAGGTGGACAATACGAACTACGGGTGCGTTTGAATAGGGGAAAAAATCAATTTTTTCCTTCTAAAATTGATTTTTTCAGTAAATCAGACAAACGGTTTGAAAAGGATGAAAATCGATTCTGAGCTCATACATGTGTTTTTTCGTAAGCCACTTTGATCAGCTTTCTGGTAAAAGTTTGTCAAAAATGTTGGGAAAAAATTATAAAGACAGGCCCAAAAAAAATTACAACAAAATACATAATTTAATAAAAATAAAATTAAACTCTCTTCTTTTTCCTTAATAAAATTTAAACTTTATATATTTAAAAAATTAATATTTGATATTTAAAAATTAAATTATATAGTAATTATATAGCTAAAAATTAATTTTGATTAAATTATCCAAATATCTTCAATTCTGTTAAAATCAATTTTAAAAAAACAGTATCCAAACAGATTGCGTTATAATATAATCAATTACGATTAAAATTTATCACTTAATCAATTATTTTCATAATCTATTATACTCAATTGAAATTCAAACGGACTCTACGTTCGCTTTTGCTTATTCCAAAACATGTGTATAAAATGCGGATAGTTAAAATTAAATTTTATTATTTTTATGTCTATATTTTTAAATTTTAAATTAATATCATTTTTAGAAAAAAATTAAAATTAAATTCGCTGTATTCAACTTTTATTAAAATAAAATACTCATTCCATTAAAATAACTGAATTTTACCTCTTAATAAAATAGTTACTTGTCTTCAAATTAATCCTATCTTTTTATATTTATCCTTATTTAATAAAATGCTTTGTTCTAAAATAAATATAAAATAATTTATTTAATAGAAATACATTTAAAAAAAAAAGATAATTATTACACTTTGAAAAACTAAAAATACTTTATATTGTTACACACTTAATTCTTAAAAATACTTTTCACTTTTAAACTGAGGAAGTACATACTAATATTATAAATAAACATACAATAAAACTATGGCCTATTTAATTTTAACATTCACGATCTGAATTAAAGATATATAAGGACTTAATATATATCTGTATCTTTGAAGGTCAAAAAATATCTATATCATCAAAACCATTGAAATAGCACTATGTATTAAAATAAAACGCTTGAACGAGTCAATGAGTAGTAGGGCTTATAGTGATAAATAAATTTTAAGGAGATTTCGAGTAAAGTATAAGAATTTCATTTAGTGACAGACTCAGAAAGTAGGGTCAATGATATTTCATTTTCTGACGAAAAAAAAAAGTAGGATAAATTACTCAATTGGTCCAATCATCTGGGACTTTTATTCCACGAAAGAAGAAAATCAGATTTAAAATAACCCCACGTTATTAATTTTGAAACTGTGGATGAGGAGAGAGTGAGTTAACAAACCATGTACAGTGTGTACAGGATTTATCTCTTATAATTTTTTATTTATCTTCAAATATACACTATCAATTTATTAATTAAATGCTGAATATTCAAATCCCTTTGAGATGCTTATAATATGTCTGGTATTTTCTTCAACTGTTTTTCAATTGAGGTAAGAAAATCGACGATAAAGCTAATGAGGGCAAGGAGAAAAAGTAATGATGAAGGCTTTAAATTTTCTTTTTTAAGATATCAGCCTACTGGCACTGTATGTAATTCAGTGATATTTAATTTAATTTAATTGGATGATATGTATTTTCTGTTCTCATAGCTCTGCTTATATTGGCAAGAAATAAATTAATTTGATAACAATTAAGAGTCATGTACAAGGGAAAATTAGTAACAAATTGGAAGGCGTATACGTGTTTTCATTCTGCAAAAAAAAAAAAAAAAAGAAAAAAGAAAAGAAAAGAAACCATGCCCAGCATCACCATGATTTTCAATTCTTCTCTGAGCAAGAAACTGATTAACCAATGAGGTGAGTTCTGCATTATGTATTAATTACATTGTATATATTGATACTAAAAGTAGTTTGTTTAACAAAAATTAAGCAGGAATTAAGTTAATTTATGGTTGGCCTGGTCAGGTTTTGGTGCCATATATAGCTTCAAAAAGTCTCAGACATTCTTTAATTTACTTTTATTATTAATGTAATTACATAAATATAACAAGTAGCTCACCTATTACCGATGGCACCATGAAGCTTCACAATGATGGCTTCTTCCTGAGGAGTGATGTTTCCTCTCTTCAAGTCTTCTCTCAAATAGTTGATCCATCTCAGTCTGCAACTCTTGCCACACCTCAATAACCCTTCATCAAATATCATCAACCATTAACCAACAGAACTGCTTTAAATTGATCATGAGAGACAAGTACATAGATGTATAGATAGATATAAATTACCTGCATTTTTGGGCAAGGATCTCCAAGAGCCTTCGCCATGCTGCTGGATATATTCGGTCAAGATTCTATCTTCTTCAGAAGTCCATCGTCCTCTCTTGAGACCCACTTTATCGCAGCAAGGAGACTTTCCAGCAGATACTTTCTTGGATCTTAATATTGTATCTTCAACTACTGCGGACATGTTGATGATGGAGAGAAATAGTATAACTGAGATGGCCTGCTAGGAGTTGGAAGGTAGTTGTGAAGCTAGCTGTTGCTATAACCATTCATTCACTCGCCAATGAAGAGACAAATGAAACGCCTTTGCATGGGCTGGCTCGCTGCTTCTTCTACACGGTACTGTAGCAATATATATAGTCACTGTGGGATCTGCGATAAGGACTTGGATAGTAAGAAAACTTAGCAAAAGAGCCCTTTTTATGGATGACCATGTGGTAAAGAGGTAATTCATTGATGGCGGTAGAATATTTCTAAGGTTTTTCTTGTCAGAAAAAGTGAAGGCTTTGTAAGGTTAAAGTACATCACTTTTTGTTTACCCCAAAAAAAAAAAGGGTACATCACTTTTTAACGCGTACGGATTCATGCAAAAATCTTGTACAGATTGTTATTGCACCACGTCCCCTTCTTTACCACCACATGATCAACTTGAATAGTGTACAGCATCTCAAAGCTTTTTTTTTTTTTTTTTTTAATGATTTCTTTCCTTTGAGTCTGAGTCCTACGTAGCCACCGTATTAGATATATTTGCCTCTTTCGTTCGTTTTCACACAATGCACACATGTTCCATTTTGTTTCTTCTCCTGTCTTTCCCTTATCATTCAATTTCCTTTCTTGCGGGTCTGCATAATTTCTTATTCTCAATTATTCTTACAGCTGATACTAGCCTGGCAAATTAAATAAGGATGATGTATAAATTATTGACAACAATAACCAATTGTACATTAGTACTCCATTGATTCTCTTTATAAGTTATTTCTTTCAAATTTATTAGTATTAGTGTAAATAAAGTAAAAAGAATAAAAGTATAAAAAACTTTAAATATACCCCTACATAAAAATTTAAAAAGTGATGTCATGTTACTTTTTTTTATGAAGGATAATTTTAAAAATATCTTTAAAATATTATTTTAAAAATTATATCATGACTTATAAATGAGACTAAATATATTTTTTAAAATGTGTCTTATAGATAAATAAAATTGGGGGAAGTACAGTATCCTCATCATTATTTCTCTCTCCAAATGCAAGTGCCTACAGAATACTCAAAATGATCAAGAATTACGCATTGCAAGGTTTGTAAAAATATAGGGAAAATGACAATTAAAGACCCCATAAAAAGATTAATGACAATTGCAAATTCTAAATTAATAATAGGCTATGGTCCTTACTTGCAATGGACTTTTGTAAATCTTAAACTAATGCTATAAAAATTCACAAGTATCTTTTATCAATTTCTCAAGCAATAAAAAAAAATACAAATGATTGACTTATTATTTACAATTGACTTTCATAAATTCTCAAACAATTTATTTATATATTGATAACAAAAAAACTTACAAGTGATTTGGCAAGCGATTCACAATTAATTCTCACAAATTTCTAAACTAAAGTTACAAATAATCCCAAGCATATTTTCTTAATTTGTGTGTTTTGTTAATTTTCCAACCAACTATTAGCATTTTTTTCATTGCAAGTAAAGACATCTATTATTAGAATTTTAATAGTTTAATTTTTGTAATTATCATTAATATTCTTATGGTATCTATAATTATCAATTTTCCCAATATAGGGAAAATGACACACAGAGTTGTGAGATTCACTAGAGACTTGAGAGGTAGATTAATTCGTTTAAATATGTGATGTTTTCACTTTGGTTAGTGATAACTCTCCCGAGAAATGACAAAAAAGAATGGGATTTTAAAAAAAAAAAAAAGCAGAGAGAATCCAAAGCAACGCAAGTAGTGAGATGAAGTAAAATAGAGTGTAAAATTATGTATGCACTGTACATGTACCTAGTTGGTAGTGGGGAAAGTGAAGAAGCACGTACAGATAAACCTAACCTAACACACGAAAGCAGAATCATTTTATGTAAGGCCCCAGAGGGCAGGTAAAGGGATCTTTATTGTTGATTGAGATAAGAAGATCATTCCTGGCCAAGAAAATTTCAATGAAAAAAACTAACACAACAACCTTCAATGAAGTGGATAACAACCAAACTTGCAAAAACTTGTGGACACAATTGTTTATCTCAGGTAGTTTTTCCACTTTCTCTCTAGGATATATATGTGTGTGTATATGCGCGCGGGCGCTTTTAAATTTGTATGTGTGAGTGTCATGTGTACCATTGTTCTTAAGTATCAGTGTCACTATTTTATACTGATGTGTGTGTATGCGCGCGCGCTCTTTGTTTTGGTTAAATTGGGGACCCAAAAACACTATACGCAACAATGACAGGTTAAATTGAAGGTATGCGCAGTACAAAGACAATTAATTTTTCTTGTCGTCTTTCCGATCATCTTTTTAAATACAGTTTTAATACTCCCATCTAACCTCACCTCTCTAATTTATTTCAAGAGTACTAATTAATTAATATTTAAAATCCATATATATATATATATATATAACGAGTGTTGTGATGTTTATGTGCTGAAAAAGATACAGATAGATAATCTGTTCACATTGGTCGATCGTGGACTTGGTTTACAAACAGTCCCTAGTGTTGAACTGATTGCCGACAATAACTTTCGTATATTATTTTGGTTTAAGGAATCACTTGAATGTTCTCTTTTGGGGGTGGGGGGGGGGTGTGGAGGGAGGGACGGCGGGCCAGATTGCATTTATTAGATTGACCAAACCAAATGCTGGCTAGATAATTGGGGGAAATACTTATTGATATTTTCTTTTTGAAGGAATAACATGTATTAAGAAATTTCTTTTGCGAAATAATTCCCGGTTATTTTAAAAAAATATATTAAATGCTGCCAGAAGATTTGGGGAAAATGGATCTTCTGGCCCCTAGAATTACATTATTCAATATTTTTGAATTGAATTGATGTCCATGTGGTGTGAATTTTTTTTAAAGCAGTCCCTATAATTTTATATGCTCATTTTATTAAAAGATATTCCCTCGAGTCTTAAATATAAATTCCTTTGAATCACCCTCAAAGGCAACAAGGAAAACAATTAAAGGTCATTTAAAATATTAACCTTATATTGTCATAAAATTTATTTTTTTCAATATTATCTGATAAGTGCATATTTTATAATTAAATAGGTCCAGATTTTGATTTAGATTTGATTAAATTTATCAATATTTCATACCTATTTAACTAATATTTGCATGTTTTCCTCTCATCATTTAATTATAATTAAGACAAAGAGAAATATTTGCTACAAAATCTACTTATATCTTTTTGTTTTTGCATTTTGTAGGACAAAAGAACAAATCAAATTGAAGAAAAGAAAATAAAAAATAAAAAATAAAATCTGAACAGAAATTAAAAAAAAAAACTCAACAAAGCTTGCGCGAATCCCACGCTGAAAATTTTAAGATAATTATTTACAATTGATCTAAAACAATATCAAGAGAAGGCAGTGTGAATTACAGGAGGTAGAAGATATAAGTTGAAAAATAAGAAAATATAGAGAATAATCTTACGATATTTTAGAAGAAATATTGAGCACAAAATATTATAAATAAGAGTGTTCATATGATTATTCAAAAAGATTCAATCACTTATATGCATACCTTAAGAATTCTTTTTAACATATTTGAAACTCGTAGAAGCATTTTAAAGGTTGAGAGTGAGATTGTTGATGAGTTCTGTATATCATAATTATTTTTTTCTATTTCTTAATTTTTTATGCGGTTGTCTTTCATGATTGGATTACATGTTAAAGCTAGTTTTCTATTTTTTTTATTTTGATTCTTTACATTTATATTTATAAATATATTTTCCCTTTTCCAACTATATTTATTTCCTTTTTTCTTCATATTAATTTTATGACTCACCACTATTTAGTTAAATTTATGGGTAATTTTGATAGAGTAAAAAATAAGAGAGAACCTAGATTTAGAGAAATAGACATATATAACTAGGTTAAGGATAATTTTAAAAATTTTGATGACTTAAACTATAGCTGCATGACTTAATTAATTGTTTAGGCATTGTGGGAATGAATTCAATGCTAATTTAAAATAGACTAATATTTTGGGAGAATATTAGGATATTATAGAAATAGTTATTATTATAATGGATTAAAAAATTAACTCAAAGGGTAGAAACTAACAATCTATAAAGCAAATTATGAACCCCAACACTTCAACTGATTGTGTTTTCCTTATTATTATTTTCTTGCTTTATTTTTATTCTTTATATTCTCATCAAAGAATTCATTTTATTTATTTTTCTTGAACTACTAATTTTTTAAATTAATAAAAGAAAAACTTTTCTATAGGTTTGACACTTGAAATACTCTGTGTAATTTATTACTGTGACCCTCTTACACTTGTAGGAATGATCAAGTTTTTGGTGTCATTACTAGAAAAGTTACAAATTTACTAACATTTAATTTTTAGTTCATTTTTTTATTTTTCCCTTTTAATTTATTTATTTATTATCTTTTATACAACTAAGGAGTTTTGGTGACTTAAATTCAATTCCTATTAATCTAGAAGTTGAACGGTTTTGTAGAAAAATAGATCTCAAAGAAGAAGAAAGATAGGTGGCAAAGTGCTAAAGCGTGTAATTATAAATTTAAAAATATTCTCTTAAATATGCTACTTAATTTCAATAGGCATTGAATTGAAGATGCTTTAGATTTTATATAAAAATTTTATGCTATAATTGACACATTATGGCTAAATGTCCTATTGGATGATGACTTAAAGTTGTGTTGCTTCCCTCACTGTTTAAAGGAAGAAGCTTATCAATGGCTTATACATTTATCGAAAGCTTCTATAATATCATAGATAAAGATATATAAGCAATTTATATTACAATATTATTCTCCTTAAAAAACTTCGAATTAAGGGACAAGATCCACTTTTTCACACAACAAGATGGAGAATTGTTTTATGAAGTTTAAGAGCATTATAATCTCTTCATAAGCCAATGTCTCCATCACCAATTTCCACATATACTCTTGATGGATTGTTTTTCATGATGGGCTCAATTCTAAATACCAATCAAAAGTTAATAATGCACTCCGTAATGATCTAAGTAATATGACTGCTGAAGAAAGGGATGACATTTGTAAAATGCTACTAGCAAATTTAAGGCATAAAATAGTTTGAGGAAGGGGGCGATGATTAATAAAGTTTCTGCCTTAGATATCTCACATGAACTATGGGATTTAATAAAGAATTTAAATTTATTATTGAAAAATTTTAGTTATGTGAATTCCCTTTATTCTTCTTTATCGGTAAATTCCCTTTATTCTTCTACTAATAATTCTCTTCATACAAGATATGATGGTGACTATGTAGAGGCGGCTAGTTATATAGGAGCTAGTGCTAATTGAGTTAATCCAAAAAATGACTCGTACACCAACACATATAACCCCGAATAGAAAAATCATCCAAATTTCTTTGGGAAAAATTCATCTACTGAAGCACCACAAGTATCACCAGGCTTTTAAAAATAGGGAAACACAATTGAGGATCATACAGTAAAGTTGGAGGAAGCTTTAGCTCAAATCGTGACTTACTAAGTGAATAGTATGAAGAGCATGAATTAAAAGATTGACCAACTTAAACAAGTGGTTGCTTCAACTCAAGCCTCTATGAAAAATATAATATAAATTGCAAATAGGTAATTCACTGAGAAATATGGAGACTCAAATAAGCAATTTGGCTAGCTTACTCATCGAAAAGAGTCAAAATAACTTTTAAACAACATTAAAGTCAATTCACTAGAGCAACTCAAAGCATTCACCCTAGGGAATGGAAAAGAACTCCAAGAGGTTAATAATAGTACTAAAGAGATATCTAAAAAGGCAAGTGAATAGAGAAATAATAAAGATGATGAGGTAATTGAGATATCTAGAGTTAATATTGCAACTCAAATTGGCACTTCTCTTCGAAGTTAAACCTTATATACCTCCCATTCCATTTCCTAAGTGCCTTCAAGAAAAAGATCCAGATTTAGGCTTTCAAAATTTTATTGAGATGTTTAAGAAAATTAAAATCAATATTCCCTTTATAAAGGCATTAGTAAAGATGTTTACTTATATCAAATACATCAAAGAACTGGTTTTAAACAAGAAAAGGTTGGAAGAATATGCCACGATGATACTTACAGAAGAGCATAGTGCAATTCTACAAAAAATGTAATGTTCTATTTTTAAATAAGGAATATATTATAGAATTGAAGTTTTAATAGAGGAATGCAAATAGGTATTAATACTATTTTAAGGATTTATTAGGGAGATAAATGTGTATTTGAGGTGAATTGAAGTTAATAGAGTGTTTAAGCAATTAATTAAGACTTAAATTGGGCCTGGAACCATATTAGGACACTATATAGGTCTAAAATAGGTAATCGAGCTGAACCGGGGCCTAAAAGGATAGGTTTAGGCCATTTGATACTTGATTGTGTGTTGATAAGCATAGAGGATCGTTTCATTCCACTTAAGGGTCATCTATGCGTGGACAAGATTGTAAATGCCTCAACTGCATACAGATGAGGCTTTTATAAGCCATCCTTGGTGCTTTTTATCTGATAAAAAATAGAGGAAAGGAGAAAATTATGGGAGGAGCTCTAGCATGGCTTTACTAAGGCACGATTTTTTGATGAGCTAAGGCGGTCTTCAAGCTATGAAACCATTTGAGGTAAGTTCCTAGTCATCTAATCTACCATTCTACCTAATTTTCTTTGTGATTTGGGATGATTTTCATATTAGAGTTTGCTTATAGGATAAATAATCTGAACCCATAACGGTTTATTATGTTTATTGTGGTTGTTAGGAGTGTGATGAGTGCTATAGAACATTTGAGGTTAGAATGTGAATTTGAGAATTTTCAATGAAACCCTAAGTCTTTTGAGGATTAATCCAAATTATTGAAATATTTTTTGATGCCTAGTTGTCTGTTTGAGCATAGATAAATAAATGTTTGTAAGATGTTAGAATGGTGATTTAATGTTTGAGGATGATCTTTTATTTTTGGAGGTATTTTTGGATGAATTTTTAAATATGTGGTAATGAAATATTGATGTTGGGAGTGATTTAAGAATTTATTTAAAGTGTAGAAGTGTAAGAAGATTTTAGAGAGAATTTTCAGAAGGGTCAAGATGGATCCTAACCTTAATTTAATACTATATGTGAGTTAGGCCTATACTTCCCTAACTTTATAATTAAAGTTAATTATTGAATTCAGTTGTGAAATTAATGCTATATATATTATTAAATTGCTATATAGATTGTATTGACAAAAAAAAGTAGTGAGAAATCACATGTCTATGAGATTTTGATTTGCTTGGAGTAAAGGTAACCTAAACTAATTTGTTACAATGTCAATGGGAGTTCTATGATTGATTATGTGTAATTTAATGAAATGATATATTGTTTGAAAAATATTATATTTGAAAAATGTATATTTATTATCTAAAAAATTAATTGCTAAGTGGGTTATTAAATATGCAAGTAAATATATATTGATATGAATTTTTTCTTGAGATATATTTATCTAGATTGAATTGGAAATATGATTCTATATGGATTCATTATGCATTACTTGTCAAGTTATTTTGAAATTGTTTGGTAGGGATTTTGTCCAATTGAGATTTATCACGTGGTAAGTCCTCATTAGATTCAATGAGTGGCTAGTAGCTTAAATTGACTCACCTTTGGTTAGGTGACTCGATGCCGAGCATGGAGTACAGAGGGATATAAGATGTAGTTATGCACATTTGTTTTTTGTCCAATTAGATACATACATACATACATACATATATATCACTTGTACGGAAATTGATTTTCATATGCTCACTTAGCACTCTCATGATTAATTGCTTTGCATGTATTGTAGCATTTTAGTATTGGTTACTAGGACCTTCATGTCTTATCTACTATGGTTAATATTTTTACAGAAACAAGTGTAGTTGGAAGAGCACCAAAGGTGTAGATTGGTGTATGAGACACCATCTTTTTTTATTGCCTTTTTTTTAGTTGATGTAATGTATATTGTGCCAATCTAGGATAATTACGATTTTTGTTGAGTATGCAGACTCTACTGTTGATTAACTGCACATATATTGCTTTGAGAATTCTATCTGTCCCTTATGGTCTAACTATTTTACTTAAGACATTGACGCTATGATCAATCTTTAAGAATATTCAATAGTAAGATATGACATGTTTATTCAAATGTTGCTAAATGCAAAAGTGCGGTGAATATGTAAACCTTTGGAAGTGGACTTTAGCTGGATAATGTTGTTAAGTTATGAAATTAATGTTTGGGCCCTTTTTGAGTATTGATGATCAAAATTTATTGTTTGGAAAGTATGACTTTCTAACAAAAGTTTAGTGTTTAGTTTACAATGTATTGAAGTCACATCTGTAAGTCATTAACTGTATTAAATGTATCATTTGAAACAATGCTGCCTTGAAAACCATGCTTTTATGCTTGTTTATGATTGTAAAACAATTGTTAGATTTCAGATATGGGTTTTTCAGATGGGATCCTAATAGGTACATTTGAGGTAACTACTATTTTAATTACCATGACAATGTTAATTTATTATGTTTAGTTCTATCTATCATGATAGATCCTTTCTGCCATGAAAGTTTATTTGTGATAGATTTCAATTTAAGTAAAACTTTTTCTATTATGATAAGGTTTGAAAAAGTATGATTTACCTATTTTATGACCATGGTAGACCTTTTTCTACTATAATAAGTGTTCAATATTATTAAATTGGTTTTATAACTTATTAGTTTATGAAAATTAAGTTCCAAAATTTGGAGTGTTACATTTTGATAGTAAAGCCTCAAGTTTTGAAGCTTTGTTTTATTATACCAATTTAAGCTTTTGTTGGAAATATTACATGTTGTCTGGATTCCATACATGTTTAATTTGTGTTAATGGTTGGCAATATACATTTTGAATCATGGTGCTCTCTCTTGGCTTCAATTGTTGTTAGGATTAGTATAAACTTATTTTATGTATTGTACATCCTTTAGGAGGAAAGAGAGGATGGCAACTAACAATAATCATGACCCTAATGAACAACAACATGGGGATCAAAATGTGTAACCCCAACCATTACCAGAACCCTAATCAATGAGTAATGATGCAACCCTCTTGAAAATGAGGGACATGTTGAGGAACCTAAATGAACATGTTCAAAGACAGAGACATGAAATGGTTGAGATGAGCAAGCAATTCATCAATACCAAGGGCAAAGGACCTAGAGTAGGGAATTGTTTAGGGGCTCATATTTTGAGTTGAGCTAGAAAAAGACATCCTAAATATCCACCCATTAGTCTTCACAAAAGTTCAAGCACTCACATATTGAAATTAAATTGAAAAGTCCCCTGCTCATTACCAAGAACTCTCTCTAAGAGGAGAATGTATGTTAATTGAGATAGAAAAGTGTCTTTTGATTTAGTAGGACAATGATTCATACTATATTCAGAAGGCATCTCTTGATTTTGCAATTTGTCTAACTAGAGATATTAAATGTTGTGTTTATTGGGAGGAAACCCAATTTTTTATTTAATTTTCAATGTTATTTCAATCCATTTTTTACCATCTATTATCTCATAAAGTTTTATTTGTTCACTAACACCCCTTCTAAGATAAATTGGAGGACGATAGTGTTTAACAAGGAGCTTGTTGACAAATCCCAGAGTTACATCAAAGCAAATTACACCACGAGAGTCTGGATTCCTTTATCTTTATCTTTTTCTGCAAACATTGAGGATAATGTTGAATTTAAGTGTAGGGGATAAAATAGATCTTATGCTCTCTTAAAAGTATCCTTGGTAATTTTTTTTTAAATTTTTTTAAGATAACTTTGCATTAATTAGATGTTAGAGTACATCCTTCCTCTAGGTAGATGGTAATTATTACTCTTTGAACACTTAATTTTATTTATTTAGGTATGGTAGTTCACTTATTAATCAAGTA